TTGCACAAGACAATTTACAGCACGTACAGTAGCCTGGAAAATGACTTCATATCATGCATCAAGCCAATTAAAAGAGACACTGTGCTCAGACTAGCTCTGTCACAAAGTGTTTTCAACTTCCTCAATCTTCACGATCACGAATCACATGGTTTTGCATCTGAAGTAAAAAGTGGCTTTCTTCATCGCGTAAACTTTGCACTAAATTGTATCATTCACATAATTTGAATGTTACAAGGCTGGTTTGTTAGGGTGTTTGTCCAGCAAATTCACAAAAAGTGGGAAAAAAAGGAACATGTAAGGTCAGTCTACTTTAGACAAGGGACGATGTTAACACGTAATCATGACATCATTGAAGCAAAAGTTGCATGCAAACTTGTCAACTTATTTCCAGCAACTCCAGCCAAAACCACAAGGTTTTGAAAGTAGAAACCAACTATAATTTAAATCAAGCTATACATTTGTAAAAAATATGAAAATAATATCAGTGAATGATGCAAATCAATGACAAGACAGGCTGGTGTGATTGGGTTCCCATGTGGGTTCGAACTTGGATGTGGTTTTCAACTCTATCTAGCAAGCTGTTCTACTATTGACATAGTTTGCATATATCCACTGGCCCACCTCAGTTTTTTTTTCCAGATGTATTTCATCTCATTACATCTTATAATAGAAAGTAGGTTTGCGGTAGCTCCATGGACGTATCTCTTTTGTGAGTATTTGCGGTTCTGAAAAGAACCAGTGGTACTCGACGTTTCGAGCAGTATGCTTTGCTCGTCATCAGGAGAATGCCAGATACTGACTGGGAGTGGAGCTTAAGTAGTCTGGTGGAGGATTCTGAAGACAGGGATTAGTCCGTTGTTAGTCCGATGTTCATCTGATGTTCATCCGAGCTTCGATGTAGTCTCTCTCTTCACTAACGTACCCACATCCAAAGCATGCACCATCGCCAAGGACAGGTTACTTCAAGATCACTCACTCAGCGACCGGACCAACCTCACACCACATCAAATCCACGATCTCCCGATCAGCTGCGTATCATCTTCCTGCTTCCAGTGGAGAGACAAATTCTTCGAGCAGTCTTCCGGAACCTCCATGGGATCGCCTCTATCCCCGGTTCTGGCAGACCTGTTCATGGAAGAATTTGAGCAGACAGCCCTCTTCTCCGCGGACCTCAAGCCCAGCGTATGGATCCGGTATGTGGACGACACCTTCGTCGTCTGGCCACATAGCCCACAAGACCTCCAGCTGTTCCTTCAACATCTCAACAGCCAACACAACGACATCCAGTTCACCATGGAGAAGGAACAACACGGACGCATCGCATTCTTGGATGTCGAGGTTTCAAGACTACCAGATGGCACCCTATCCCGCACAGTATATAGGAAGCCAACACACACCGACCGCTACCTGAACAACTGGTCATTCCACCACCCCAGCATCAAGGCCTCCGTCAACAGAACCCTCGTACGTCGAGCATACAACATCTGCGACCAAGACCACCTAGAACCAGAACTCCATCACATCTCCACAGCACTACAGCGGAAAAACACAGGCTTCACCATCAGTGACATCTGGCGCCCCATCCTCAACCCTTCTTAGTCTGCCTCAGGGGTCATCTATACCCTTGGCACCCTGCCCGAGTTCTTCCCATGTTTACCCATCCACACCCACATCAGTACTGCCACACCTGACTAAGTTTCCACCACACATCACCGAGCCAGCCTAATCCCTTCTCCAGACTTTCCGCCTTCACGCATCATCAGACTAATCCCCGTCTCCAGAATCCTCCACCAGACTACTTAAGCTCCACTCCCAGTCAGTATGTGGCATTCTCCTAATGACGAGCAGAGCAGACTGCTTGAAACGTCGAGTACCACTGGTTCTTTTCAGAACCGCAAATACTCACAAAAGAGATACGTCCATGGAGCTACCGCAAACCTACTTTCTTTTATACCTCTTCACCATGCAAACCTTCCAGACTTATCCTCATCACATCTTGTTGCATATCAGATATCAATTTTATTTCTGTCAAATCAGAATTCAAGGTGCTGGTGCACACGAACAAAACCGCATGCCAGGAAAATGCCTAGATTGTATCAAAGAGCACCTACCACCTGTTAAACTTCCAAAGCCTTTGGCAGACAGTGCCCCCCTCCTCCATTACGGGCTGGGACTCACTGCCACCTACTTTCATCCATCTACCTGCTACTCTGAAACATTTTGAAACCCCCTGCTAAGAGACACCAAAGCTGCCTGATCAATTTAAACTGGCACAGAAATTGCCAGAGTAATTTTTGCAAGAGACACTGAAGAGCCTGGCTTCATTTAGAAAAGGAAATCCCTCATCTTATTTAGAAGAGGCAAAGGAATTGGGGAGTCGTATGTATTTGGAAGCGGCGAAAGAATCGCCTTGTGTTATTTATTTGGAAGAGGCAAAGGAATTGCCTTGTATTATGTATTTAGAAGAGGCTTAGGAATTGCCTTGTATTATTTATTTTTAAGAGGCAAAGGAATTGCCTTGTGTTAGCTATTTTGAAGACGTAAATGAATCGCTTTGTGTTAAGCATTTGAAAGAGGCTAAGGAATCGCCTTGTGTTTGGTATTTTGAAGAGGCAAAGGAATTGCAAAGTCATATATTTAGGAGAGGCAAAGGAATGGCCAAGTCTTATGCATTTGAAAGAGGCAGAGGAATTGCCTTGTATTATGTATTTCGACGAGGCAAAAGAATCGCCTTGTGTTATGAATTTGGATGAGGCAAAGGAATTGCCTTGTATTATGTATTTGGAAGAGGCTAAGGAATTGCCTTGTGTTATGTATTTGGAAGAGGCTAAGGAATTGCCTTGTATTATGTATTTGGAAGAGGCTAAGGAATTGCCTTGTATTATGTATTTGGAAGAGGCTAAGGAATTGCCTTGTATTATGTATTTGGAAGAGGCTAAGGAATTGCCTTGTGTTATGTATTTGGAAGAGGCTAAGGAATTGCCTTGTGTTATGAATTTGGGAGGCTAAGGAATTGCCTTGTATTATGAATTTGGGAGGCAAAGGAATTGCCTTGTATTATGTATTTGGAAGAGGCAAAAGAATTGCCTTGTATTATGTATTTGGGAGGCTAAGGAATTGCCTTGTGTTATGAATTTGGAAGAGGCAAAAGAATTGCCTTGTATTATGTATTTGGAAGAGGCAAAGGAATTGCTTGTGTTATAAATTTGGAAGAGGGAAATCACCTTGTGTTATATATTTGGATGAGCCAAAGGAATGGACTTGTGTTATGTATTTGGAAGACACACAGGAATCGCCTTGTGTTATTTATTTGGAGGAGGCAAAGGAATTGTCTAGTATTAGGTATTTAGAAGAAGCAAAGGAATTACAGAGTCGTATGTATTTGGAAGCGGCAAAGGAATCGCCTTGTGTTAAAAATTAGGAAGAAGAAAAGGAATCACCTTGTGTTATATATTTGGATGAAGCAAAGGAATGGACTTGTGTTATGTATTTGGAAGACACACAGGAATCGCCTTGTGTTATTTATTTTGAAGAGGCTAAGGAATTGCCTTGCATTATGTATTTGGAAGAGGCTAAGGAATTGCCTTGTATTATGTATTTGGAAGAGGCTAACGAATTGCCTTGCATTATGTATTTGGCAGAGGCAAAAGAATAGCCTTGTATTATGTATTTTGAAGAGGCAAAGGAACAGTGTTGTAGTCAAGTACCTTTTTCCGAGTATCAAGTACTGCCGAGTACCTTGACTGCCGAGTACAAAGATAGGTCGAGTACTTTGCCAGCTGAGTACAAGTACTGGTTTCCGAGTACAAGTACTTGCACTTCCGAGTACGAATACAAGTACTTCTAATTCAAAAGTAGTTTTATCTTAATTTAGAGACTCTAAGACCTGCCACTGTGTAAAAGAAACACCGAATACAGATGGCATGGCTACAAAAACAAGTGATCTGGCTAGCAATGTCACGGTCACTACGCGTGCGTTGCAGCAGTTGACACAATGTGCACGGCGCGGCGAAGTCTATTTTCCAGACTCAATTATTCATATACCTGTGATTTTCTGTATGCTGGGTTCGTCGTTAAAATTTTCGGGTCCAGGAACAAGACTACCAATGCCCAAGTAAATCGCGGGACCATTCTGGAGTACCACAATATAATTTGCGTACGTGATTGGTTAAGTATGCGCACAGACGGCAAATGGATCGTATACGTTAATGGTCCCACGTTCGGCCTTCTTTTTGTCAGAACCGTATCAAATATCAGGTCATTGGGGTCGATATTTTTGTACCTTATTTTAACAGCCGTGGTAAGTTAACTTAAAGGATTTTTTTATCGAGTACTGTCAATCGAATGCAAGTACTTTGATGCTAGAGTACAATTTTTGGATGTCGAGTTCCGAGTATTTTGTAGCCCGAGTACAAGAACTGTAGTTCGAATACGAGTACTTGGACGTCGGAGAACAAGTACTCTGAAAACAGTACTCGAGTACGAGAACCGAGTACTACAACACTGCAAAGGAATCGCCTTATGTTAGGAATTGGGAAGAGGCAAAGGAATGTATTTGGAAGATGCAAAGGAATGGCCTTGTGCTATGTATTTGGACTAAGCAAAGGATTAGCCTCATGTTATGAACTTGAAAGAGGCTAAGGAATCGCCTTTTGTTATGTATTTGGAAGATGCAAAGGAATTGCCTTGTGTTATGAATTTGGAAGAGGCAAAGGAATCACCTTGTATTATGTATTTGGAAGAGGCAAAGGCATTGACTAGTATTGTGTATTTCAAAGAGGTAAAGGAATTGCTAAGTCTCATGTATTTGGAAGAGGCAAAGGAATCGCCTTGTATTACGTATTTGGGAGAGGCAAAGGAATTGCTGTTTGTTATGTATTCGGAAGAGGCAAAGGAATTGCTGTTTGTTATGTATTCGGAAGAGGCAAAGGAATTGCTGTTTGTTATGTATTCGGAAGAGGCAAAGGAATTGCCTTGTATTATGAGGAAGAGGGAAAAGAAATCGCTTGATGCTATCTATTTACAATCAAATGGATTTCTGAAGGTCAGTTGAAAGAACCATATGTTTTGTGTTTAGAAGAGGCATAGAAATTGCCAAGCGTTGTCCTGACTTTGAACGTGGTAAAGGGATCATGCAGAATGTATTTGGAAGAAGCAAAGGAAAAGTGTTATTCGGACGAAGGTAAAGAAATGGCCTTGTGTTACGTATTGAAAGAGGCCAAGGAATCACCTACGCATCTAATCTAGCATGTGGAAATACAAAAATCAGTGGGGCAACCTGACCAGACTGGGCAAGGATACTGTTATACGCAGTGGTGAAGTCCTTGTTTAGCATCCAGTCTACGATATTCTCAATGTCCGACCGCAGGGGGTGCCCTGTACATTGATAAACATTCTCCTCACTGACGACGTCGTATGCCATGTGTGTGCTCTGCCAACAAAGACGAAAATGGAGAGAGGGGGAAAACTGATCTGCAAAGTATTCCTGGTTTTGTTGTGTACCGAAATTAAATTTTGAAGTCAAGTATATTTGTGGGTTTTAGCCTGGATAATTAAATTTTGAAGTCAAGTATATTTGTGGGTTTTAGCCTGGAATTTTGACAGTGTGCTTTACATAAATTAACTCCTTTAAGATTAATTAATCAAGTTCTCCTGTTTTTCTACATGCGATTACAATGATTCCAACATGCACTCCTATATTTTACCAGGAGTTATTTCTGGGGAAGGTTGTTCCCTTAACAAAGTGGCACTTATCAGCCTCAATGTGGTCTCATGTCATCACAGATGTACGAGCAAGTGTCAAACTCACCTGTAAAATATTGAGAGATCGCCGCATGTCTCCCTTAGATAGTCTGACCAGAGCGTCCATACCATCTTCGGTTACAGTGACTCTGCAGACATTGAAAACAAAAGCGTACATATTTCTTGAACTAATGACAATCATGATTTACACAAAAAATTAACAGCATTATATTTAACTGCCGTAAAAATGCTGCCAACTGCAACTGATCCAAAAAAGTGTTATAGTTAGCTGTTTGGTTATAGCAGAAATACTACGTATGTTACGATGATGGATGAGTAACAAATCCGCATTTTACCTGTAACCATTTCATTGGTACTTAATACATATTTCGAAGAGGGCTTTTGGTTTACGAAATGACAACTGTCAAGATGCAAGAAAATGAGCCGGTACTGCACGTTTTGAGGTCAGTTGGTAATTTCAGTGTGAATCAAAAGACCATCAAGACATCACATTGCAGTAACCACTAGCAGAGATGAGATTGACCAATGATAAAAATAGTTGAAAACAGTTGACAAAGGCATAAGGAAGCTGAACCGTGAAAATCTCCTATGATTTTGTACACAGCCAGAAAGAGAAAAAAAGTTGAAATCCAAAACAAAAAAAGCTGGAATCAGCTAAAAAGCTGAGAAATCTCAACCCTGCGCTACACAGATTTGAACGTACCCTTCTTCGTTGATGACATGTTGGATTCTGGGAACCATCTGCTGCAGGTTGAGTGGACCAAACCGGAACCTTGTACAGCGGGATTGCAGGGCAGGAATGATTTTGGACAAGTAGTTGCAGATCAGACAGAAGCGGGTATTCTCTGTAAACTTCTCAATCACTAAAAAAAGATAGCAATAAGTAAGGAAGTCAGGGATAGTTGTGCACTGAAGATTGGTGGAAATGTTCCAAACTCTAAAAAATCCACAATTGAGAAGAAACCAATGGCACATTCTTTCTACTTTACCTTCAAGATCACATCAAGCTCAATAAAAATTAATACAGATGGACTCTGCCTTCGTATAAATCTAAACCTCCTTGTGGATTTTGAAGGATCTAGGAGGGTCCTAAGAAACCCAAACCTCTCTGCTCTCCAGTCTCACCTCTTCTGAGGGCATTCTGCGCATCATTGGTCATTGCGTCGGCCTCGTCCAAGATAACCAGTTTGAAACCCGACTTGAAGATGGTCCTGGTGCTAGCAAAGCTGAGGATGGCCCCACGGACGATGTCGATACCCCTGTCATCTGATGCATTCAGCTGCACGACAAAAAGTAACTACATTGTATTCAAATCTGCTTTTAACTTTGGTGCTCTTGGACCTAGGGTTGTGTGATTTCAATCACCTTGATTTAAATCCGATTTAAATAAAATGTTTTTTTTTTAAATCACTTGATTTAAATCCATATATTTAATAGTTGGGTAAAAAGGAAAGAGTTTCAATTTTTGAATTTTTGTTTACTGATCGGAAATGTTTGCAGGTTTTGCACAGTTTAAACAGAAAACCCCCCTCTGTGGGCCTTCCAGTTCCTAGTATTAAAGAAGTATGAATGCACATGTGTTACACAAAATCTGGGTTGGCAAGATTTTTATGTTAAATTTTGTCCACCTGTTTTGATTTACATCTATATCAGCTTTTTGGATCGAGTAAGTGTGTTTGATGCAAAGGGTTTATAATCACGATTTAATTTCACTTCATTTAAATTGCCTACTTCAGAGTTTAACCATAGGGGAAGGACACAAAAGGATTTAGCACTCTGGAACTTCAAAGTGCTTGATGAGCATTGCCGCCCGGTCAGACAAACAATAGTAAACATTCCCAAAATGCCTGATTACTGCCTGCAGCTTGGCCATACAAGTGGGACCAGTAATATCCTAGCAATATTTTGTTTGTTTTGTTTGCAATAAACTACAACTTATCACCGTGACCACAAAATAGAGAGCGAAAAATCTCTAACATTGGATCTACTTTTGCCATCATGAATAAACTTTTTCCTTTGATACACTGTTCCATTATTCAAGATTCAAGAAGATGTTTATTCCATACTCTTTTTTTTTTTTTTAAATTACATTGATAATTAAGGGAACTTGGTACAGAGAAATTGACAAAATGGTAAGCTTAAGAAAATACATCAGAAATTAAAGAAACTTAGTACATTGAAATTAGCAATATGAATGTAAATAACTTTTTACAGATACATGTACTTCATGAAAAGAGAACATTAGAGCTTATGATAAGATAAAGAAAAGCAGTCCATGTACAAACGAGAAAAGAAAAGAGCATGGGGCTGTGAAATAAGCAGAGGCTTGTATAAACAGCCCTTAAGACAGAAGACATAACAAGGACAACACGAACAACTACGAGAGAGCAAACAAAACAAAACAAAGAAAGAAAACACGACAGACAAAACATAAAAGACATGACAATAGCTGATGGCAAAAAGTTATCGGTACAAAACTGTAACGTTTGATGACGACTAAAAGAAAATAAAATAAAAGGAGCAGATATAAGTATGGAAGAAGATTTAAGCTATGTCACATAATGGGAAAGGAGGGTTCTCTTGTAATAGGTCTTAAACTCGTCCAGGGACAACTTTGTCCTGATGTCATCGGGAATGGCATTCCATAAACAGAGACCGAAAAAGCAAAGGGTAATCATTGAGTAGACGGTGCGAGTGAAGGGAATAAACATATTGTTATGGGATCTAGTGGAGTAACTGTGGAATTCATTGACCGATGTGAAGCACCAAGAGAACGTACTAGGGAGAAGATTATCGATGTATTTGAACATGAAGATACCAGTGTGTAAGTTGTTGATGTCGGTAACAGTGCGGGTGCCTAAGCATGCAAAAAAGGGGTGCAGAGTTGGCTCGAGAGTGAGACAAGGTGCAAGTACGAATCGCTCTTTTTTGAGTGATAAGCAAAGCGTTCAATTTGTTATTCGTTTTGCTTGCCCAAACGATGTTGCAATAATTTAAATACGGGAGCATAAGAGAACTGTACAATAATACCAAAGAGGTGCTCGGAATGAAGAAACGTAATTTGGATAAGACAATGGTGTTACAATAGAAGATTTTGTTTATGGAAGAGATATGTTCTGTCCAAGAGAGGTTTTGATCGATGATAACACCCAAGAATTTGGTAGAAGAGATCCTATTAATAGAGGTACTGTCATAACAAGAGGAGGCAAGTGGATATTCTGAAAATGTGACAACTTGGGAAAGAAAATGCAATTAGTTTTACTGTGGTTTACAGAAAGTTTGTTGGCTTTAAACCATGAAAAAATAACACGGAGCTCAGAGTTGAGAGTGTCTACCAGAGAAGCAACATCGGGACTGGAGTGAAAGATGGTCGTATCATCGGCGAAAAAAAAGAGTGAAGTTAGGAAGAGATGATGAGTTGTGAAGATCATTGATGTAAGCAAGAAAAGAAGGGGCCCTTGGATAGATCCTTGGGGAACTCCATGCTGGATGTTTAAACAATTAGAATCACAATTCATAATGGAAGTGCCTGGTACTAACAGGTGCCTGGTACCTGTTAGAAAGATAATCAGTAAACCATTGAAGTGGAATACCTCTGATGCCATAGTGATAGAGTTTGGAAAGAATAGCATGATTGAGAGTGTCAAAAGCTTTAGAAAGATCAATGAAAACACCAATGGCACATAGTTTATTGCTGAGGGCATTCGCAATCTTGTCGACAAACTCAATGAGGGCCATGTCGGTAGAGTGGTTAAATCTAAAGCCAAATTGGTGGTCAAAAAGGATATTATGGTGAGAAATGAAACGAGAGAGTCGGTTGTAGACAATTCCTTCAAGGATTTCAGAAAAACAAGGGAGAATAGAAATTGGCCAGCAGTTCGAAATGACGTGCTCATCGCCACTTTTGAAGATAGGGATAATCTTAGCGACTTTGAAATTAAGAGGAACAGAAGCAGTTACAAACGAAAGATTAAAGATATGACTTAGAGGGTCAGCAATTAGAGGCAGAGCAGATTTCACCGCACTAGAACAGACACCATCCAAACCACTGCTGATGCTGCTCTTCAGCTCACGGCCAACCTTATTAATTTCCTGGCTAGTTGTAGGAGTAAGGAAAAACGGGAAAGGATTAGGATTGTGCAATGATTCTGTGAAGTGGGTACTAGTAGGGGGAATTTTGCTGGCTAAGGAGGAACCAATGTTGATGAAGTATTTGTTGAAAGTATCAGCTACAAGAGGCGAACTGGAAATGGGATTGTCACCATCCATGAATTCACCAGGAAGATCATTATTCTTCTGTTTTCCAATGATACCATTAATATCTCGCCAGATACTCTTGAGATATCTGTTTTGTACAATCAAGTTTACCTGCATAGTATCTCTTTTTAGCAAGACGGATGGTAAAAGTGAGTATATTGCGATACGTTTTATATCGCTGTTCATTTGCTGTCGTCGGGTAATTTTATTTTGTCTCTCCAAACATCAGTTTTCAAAGTCTTTGTACGAATTTGGCTAAGACTGGCCAACAACATGTTGACCACCACTGGACAGTTAAGTTAATAACAAAATGCGCTTTTTCACGACAAGAAGTGCTCAAGAGATCTCATGAAATACCTTTTTGTATAAATGCTGCAATAAAAATGATTCAAATAAAACACAAAATCTTATACATAACTTGGCTATTCATTCCCAAAATAACTCCAGAAGAAAGCTTTCGATAAGGGCAATGACTGCACATGTACCAGACCTGCCATAAAGTGGTCATTGGCCAGATATTATAGCCCGGGCAGCTCAAACTCCTTCTGTGTACTTCCTCCATGGTTTAACATGATAAAGTATTCAGTGTATATTTACCTTTTACATCTCTACAAGTATATGTATTTTATTGAGATAAGAAATGCTAGTCATTATTATGTTACAACCAAAACCACTAAATTCATGCCCTTAATAAAGTGATTTTTTATCAAGCCTAAGTCATTGCTCAGTGAAGCTGGATCACAAAAAAAAAATGAGACTTGTGTACAACACCAGCATTTTGTACACTACACATGTAGCATGCAAAATACATGCATGTACCTGTTGGTCATGGCTTGTTTCTCACTCAGTCGTTTGATACATGTGAAAGTATCCCATTAACAAAGTCTTGTGAACTCTACCTTTGTCAAAACTTAGAGTTTGGTTTGATACCCGGTTTGCCTTGGTATATGTGCATGTACTTGTACTTGTCTCTGAAGGAAGCATCTCCTCTGAGGGTTCATGTACCAACAGGTGTTTTACTGCATGCATTTCACCAAGGCTGAGACATGGTGGTTTATGAATTTAATCAAATTACTTGATTTAAATTTCTTAAATTAAATCCAAACTTGTTTAATTTTGTCACAAAACAAATAATAACAGAAAACTGTTACACATGCAGCTAATTTGCTTGCTTTTGAATAGACATTTGAGCCATCTTGTCCCACATTTTTATGAAAATCAAAACAATCCGATTTAAATAAAAAAATCTGATTTTTTTTTTAATAAAAAAAAAAATTCAAAAAAGTCAACAACCCTGCTTGGACCACATGTCAAAGCATGCAAACATTTGGAGATTAAGGCTCATGAAATGCAGGCATTATGAAGAGATTGCCAATGCTGGGCTCATACACGTACTCACGTATGGACACAAATTATAACTTACACAGCTTGAAGAGATCAAAACCTGCTCATATGAAACTGTTTGCTTAGAGCAAACTCGTAACAAAGTGGACCATTATGATCCAAAACCTTCCCTTCATAAAAAAGTTTCCCATTTCTCGAACAAAAGGGAAATATGAAGCATTCTATTTGGGGGAATTGGAATCTGGAACTCTACTCACTTTAAAAAGCTAGAACCAACAATTCTGTTTTACACTCAAGCTTAAAGTTCCCCTACCCAGCTTTATGTCGGTAGGTTTTTGTTTATCACACATACTGGCTTACCTCTAACACCATGGAGTTGAATTCCTTGGGAGAGTACAGCTGTTTGGCACAGGCAAGGATGGTCGATGTCTTGCCCGTTCCAGGAGGTCCATAGAACAGCAAGTGGGGAAGACGATCTTCATTCATGAACTTCTGAACTGAGAGTTAATAGAAGTACACGGTACTGGTCATATGAATTTTTCTACTGCAGTCAGCGTGCAGCCCCTCAGTTAAGGAGCAATTTTGGCAATTCCATTTGCACGTGAAAACGATCTCGCGAGTACATGGGAGTTGGCGAGAAAAAACGAGAATACAGTAGTGTCCCTTCAACCCGCAAGGAAACCTGTTGCTTCATTCGTGGGTCAAAATGGCTTGGTGGGTAGACAGTTAACATTTTTCACTATCAGTAAAATTATGTTTGGGCGATGATCGACAATTTCCCAATGATTTATTTGGACACAAACTTGCTCAGTGTTTTTCACAAAAATCGCAGGCCTCCTCTTTATTAAGTGCACCTGACTGTTTTGCAATAACTGGATCAAATTGAGACTTACAATTCTTCAGGAAAAGAATTAAACATCCAGGCCAATCAAAATTTTAAAGTTTTATGCATTACTCACTCAGCAATCCCGGCAGTGTTTACATTTTTGCGAGACGAATGGCAAGTCTGGTTCCCTATTAAACGACCAACATTTACTAGGTTTCCTTCAACGCAAAGTCTGCGTTCCCGATTTTGGTCACACACATTTACGCGTATCTCTGATGTCATTTGATCGGCCAGTATTAGAGAGAATATGTCAATCAACAAATCACAGATAGTCTTTCACGAAACACATACGGCAGTTTTCTCGGTTAATCTCTCTCAAGTCTAAACCTGCGATAACAAAGTATTTTGGGTGCACCTGACTGTTTCGCAACGACTTGTAAAGTAAAAAGTTATTGTTTGGCTGCATATATGACATATCTATCTTTCTGGTGACAAGAAGATTCTGCCGGCCCAGATTTGGATCCACTAAATCCATTTTTTAACCCTCATTTTTACACACGAAAGCCTAAATTTTACGGCTAATATCCTTCAAAAGAGACTGCGAATATTTGTATTTTTTACAAAGGACATGAGACTGATATCTTAACTGTTCATTTATGTAAAGATATTCCATTCTTAAAGGTAACATAAGGTGGTATACAATTTTGAAAAGTCCACAACATAGCTCATTACATATGCATGAATCAGACAGCCGTGCATATGTAGCAAATGAAAGGAGCAGCTTTTACGGGTGCTGCGCGCTGACTGACTGTTCTGCTAGGACAGAATGGGAAGATGGGGAGTGGTGATAGATCACAGGCATACATGTATACTCAGCATGTTTGATGATCCCTACTAATCAAGTAAGTAATGATGTAAGAAAGCCATACTGGCTAACAGCAAGGTGGACAAAACAAACACCTTTCTTGTATTCAGGTAGAATACAGGACTATCGGTATAAATTTCACAGTGCCCAGAACAGACACGTTTGCTTTGTTGAAAGTTGCCTTACTTGTTTTAATGATCTCCTGATGAGAAATTAAATCATCAAGTTTGCTCGGTCTGTATTTCTCAACCCTGTGAAAGATAAAAAAAAGCAGAATCTTGTTATTTGCACTTGAATCTTTATGGCATAGTAAGTGTATATTCCGCTGTGAATCAATTAAACATAATTTATACAACCACAATTGAATTGTCGCCATAATAATTCAAATCACCACAAAGATTGAATTAGTGTGAACCCGCCAATTAAGGCTGGCAACACACGACGTGAGAGTGGGTCAGAATTTGCCTGAAAATGCTGAAAATCATACCATGGACAACTGATTATGAAAACTAAAAAAGATACACATTTTCAAAATGTACTGTTTAGGACCCGACTTTCTTTCTCATGCTCTACGCGTTTAGGCCTATTCATACTTTGAGGTAGCCCCATAATGTGGCTTATATACTAAACTACCTTCGTGTATATTGAGCAACGCCATACCATTCGCTTCATGAATGGAGAGTCCCTGTTGCTAGGGCTGGAAAAATCCATACAGCGTATTATTGTCAGTCCCTAAAAATCATGGGGACTCTCCGCACGTAAAGGGAATGGTATCATGTGGCTAGCTATACAGAGGTAGTCCAGTATATTATGAGCCATATTGTGGGGCTAACTTTGAGGGAATGCCAACACACAAAAAAAAACATTCGTGATGTTAGATCGAATGTTGGCATTGCAAATTTGTAAAGGTCAATTCATACTTCAGGCATGTCAGGCAAATGTGAAAGCAAACCGAATTCGATGTCACAAAAAATCGGCAGCAAAATTTTGCTCAAGTTGAAATGTGTTTCACTTTTGTGAATGAAGGTGATTCACAACAGTGCGCCTCCAAGAGTTTGCAACACACTGGCCAGTCACAACGCCCAAAATCTGACCCTTTCCAATCACACTCTGGGTCAACAGATTTCACAAGCTATGATTGGCCAACATGTTGCAAACTCTTTGAGACACACTATTGTGAAACACCTGAATTTGTAATGCAAATAGGCCTAGGCCTATAGAGGGCCTGTGTGGAACGCCCTCACAGAAGACACGTTTGTTATTTAGATTTAATGACAATGAATGCATAAAAGGTTTACTTGAGCCTTTCCTAGAGGTACTTCCAGAACCAGTAGTCCCATCTTTACCCTTCGTAAAATGATTTCTTTCCCAATAAACATTAATATTTTCATGGTCATGTTGAGGCCACTGCACTCCCTCCTCTCACCAATGCATTTCTACTACCTTGATGACTGTTTCTAGTGCGTGTAATGTATTGTCTAACGAAATGTCCTGTCCACGTGATGTATCAAATGAAAAGACGCTGTAGTTGGTAAACGTTAAAAACGCACAATTCAACCAACAGAAATTTTTCTTTCATTCACGAGCGGAAGGAAACTGAATAGAAAGAGATGGGAGCCAAGTAGCACATGTAATTAGTGAAGCTGCCACACTGCTGACAACCATGACCTTTCAACTGACATGTCCAGGTGAGCTAGCAGGCAGCCGTCGACAGGTGGATGTTACATGGTGTGGGAAAGGAAAATTCTTGTAAATTTCACCATTTCAATGATACACAATGTAAATGACCCCCCATCCCATCCCATACAAAACTGGAACCTGGGAGACCTCATGAAATTATAATTTATGCTTTTTTATAATGTGAAAATCTATGTAACGGCATAGAAATTCCATGCCAACTGGAGTAAGTAGTACCATGTTGGATATGCACTATTTACATTGCTATCTGTCAGGTTTGTATAAACCTTACAGTCATGACAGTTCTGGAACTTCAAGTGGAAGTGTCCTAGAGGAAGAAAGAATTGCCCTCTGACGTGACATCATATGCCATCATTTGGCAGGGGGACCATTTCAGTATTTGATCTGTCCTCACAAACTCGCATTTGTTTTCGACCCAAGTATGAACCTGCCTCGCAAGTTGAACACAGTAATTTTCATCTCGAACGAAATTTCGCTGAAAATTTGACGTGACGTCAAATTTACTTCACTCTCGCATGTGTCTGCAGTACGAACTGGTCTTAAACGTGTTAAAACAATAATGAGGGCGCTAACGATCAGTCATGACAGCGAGCCTGGGCCTATAATCTGCACGCACCCATTTCTTGTTGACTTTTAAAAACTCCATTTTCATGATAAACTAGGCTTCTGAACGTCCAACATATCCGATGGCCATCAATTCTATACTTTCAAGATCAAAGGACGTTATCTTTATATGTATGGTAAAGCAAAGCAATTTGAAACGATGATCTCACCAAGGAAGGTTAGAAACCCTCTTCGTCCTTGTATCTGCCATTTCGTCGTCTCGTGATTTGGCGCGAACGAATTTGCAGCATTGGCGCTAAGTCTGACGTCAGCAGTTCTTCACGTGATGAAATAATTTCGCTCGTCCTACCACCCTAAACAGGGCACTGGTAATAGCTAATAGATGACGCACATTCTTTGATTTTTCATTGGACAGGATTTTTTGCACACAGTGTGCGCAAGAAACGTGCGCAAAGGATGCCCACGCGGAATCATTTTGGGACTGTTGGTACTAGTTCACCCATAATGCTCTGCGACGTCTATACTTCCTTAAAAAGAATTGTTGAAAAAATTAGTCGTTCCCAGCTCTGGTTTTGGGAAGTGAGGTGCGAGTGAGGACTGGTGTGTGTACTTGCACTTTGAAGCAATGGTTTCGTCGATTGTATAACGGTGAGTTACTTTGAGACAATTAGAGATGTGAAGTTGTGGAGTGAGCATTTGCTCAAGTTAGTTCAGCAAATATCGTCTTAAATAAAGCATTAAATTTCCAATTTGTAAACAAAGTGTTATAATGGGACATCAAATCTAAATAAATGTAAACAAATCTAAATAAATGTGGCCTTTTGTTATCATACAAACTGCGTCCCTCACAGTGATTAATTGCGAAATACACCGATTCGAAAGTGGTATGATCTTTGATAAAGAAGATAGAAAAATGTCTGTGAGTGTTGTCAGTCTAGTTGCGACATCCAGAAAATGGTCCATCATTTTGGTAGTTTTTTCTCGGATCTGAAGGTGTACCCGATGAGCTGATTTTCCATTGAAGGATTGTGTCGCTACCAGTCATGGCGGATGAACCTCTGGCAGTGTCCAAGGCCCTGGATAATTTGCAGGCCATTCAGTCCGTGATCGACGGGCGAATCACCAGCTTGGACGGCCTAAGGAAGCTAGGCAGCAGCGACTACACGCAACAGGAAATCAAAACTGTTGAGGTAATACGCTCGTTGGGGGTTTTGTTGTTTTGTCGTGAGGTTCTCTTTGACATATTCCGAAAACTCGCTGAGAAAGGTTGAGGGGGCAGTGGTGGTCCTCTCTGTTAAAGCTTGACCTGATCGCAAACATAATGGCCTGGCCATGCCAGCATGACCCTCTTCTTCAAAATGAAATTTTAACGTGTTTATGGCTCCTTGTTGGCCTGTAGCATGTGTAGGCTACTATTGCTGCAAAAAACAAAAACCAGACTGTACGTAGTACTCAGTTGCCGGAGCCTAGTACTACTAGACCTACTTTAAGTCTAGAACAAGTAGGCTAGACCTAACCTGCTGTGGTGTTAGGATTAAGTGTTGGTGGAAATTGGACTTTTGTACCGTTTTGCATTCTGAAAAAATTGAGATTTCAAGATGCTCATGGCATGCTCATACTATGAGTCATCATGTTATGCAGTTCAAAAATCCCTCCCCCGAAAAACAACAAACTAGTTTTGTAACTACGTGTAGGCCAGTCAAAATTCATTTTTATGTTTCCATCACGTACACTTAATAAAAAAGAAAGAAAATATACTTCTGATATTTATAAGTTCCACATCTTCACACCTGAAGTGAATTCAGGGAGCCATAGAATGCAGACATGGTAGAAGAGGATAAACCAATCCTAAAATCCACCGAACACTACCAGTCAGCTTTGTTATGGTGTATCTTCTTGGTTTATTTCCTGTTAAACATTAACATGCTGCATACATCATGTGTACACGTACAGTTATTAATATTGTCATCATTAATAGGGAGCATGACAGGTTGATGTGATACAGTGTCATGACTGTTGCTCAGTAGCTCCATATTGTTTTGAACATGCACAAAATCATTGACTTTGTGTTCAGGCAGGTAGGACTGAATTTGGCGTGAAATTTGTCTGGAAGTTTTATTTATTCGCAGAAAAACACACTTTTGGGAAACAAATTTTTAAAAATGGGCCAGGTGTGAAATGTGTTCTTGGGCAGCAGTGTTAACCCAGGGCTCCAGTTGTCAGCTGTCTGTGTCTGCCAAGTGATAAATATTTACAGATGTTGTGTATAAATTCTGAGCAATAGAACTACATTAAAATAAGTTCCTGTAAATGTACATTGAAAATGTTTGCCAATTGCCAGCTGCAACCCTGTAAACCTAAACATTCAGTTTAATCAGCCTATTGAAAAAGATGAGAATATGATGAGTTTTAATGCTGGTAGGGCATTTATTATATTTTATTCAACATGTTAAAAATAAAACAAAAACCGTATAAAATGCAGTGCTTGTACCTCGATGAGACAGATCAGTAATCAGTTTCTAAGTCATGCATAGAACATAAAGCATATGTTGCCATACTACATGCATGGTCCATTGATAATCAGTGTAATTTAATGAAGTTCAATCTAAAACAAAAATCAACAAAAATAAAACTGGTAGTAGAAACCGGAAATGAATGGAATCCGAATGTACATGTACAAACAGGCCTGTCTCAATTCATCTCTCTACTCCGCTTTTAACATTTGATATAGCAAGCAAGGAAGAGTACCTAAAGATTTGCCAGTTTCTTAGTACCGGTATGTGTACCTTTGTGTTACATTACATGTACATGCCTATCAAAATTTCTACATTCAGTTTACATGTAAGTAATGCCAAGAATGAATGACACATTAGGAATGCATGTATCCAAGAAACCATCTGTAATCCATGTACAATGTGTACTGTTTGGGGGCCATAGAGATAAGTGCGGCATAAATTGTACATTATTTGTAGCCACGTACATGTACATTGTGCAGTATGGTAATATACATGTACATTGTATTGTAACTGTGCAGTTGGACCCCTTACATGTATACATGTAAGATGTGGGCTTTGATTCTTTGATCTTCTTTTTCGTAGAAAAGAAATAAATGTGACCTGTCCTCTTTTTTTCTGAACTGATATTGATCAGAGTAGAGTATCTGGTCAAGCCTGTCTTGTGTTACAGGGGTCATTGAGATTATTTATAGTGTAAGGTTATTGGGTGACACATGCTGACTAATGGTAACGAGGAATTACAGCAGAGTAAATTTACTTCAGCAGAATATCGATTAACTTTATCTCTCCAGTGTTAACTTAATCAATGTGATATGCCGTTACCATGTGTAATAATTTAATTGTTTTGATCATTTCAAGGATTTATGTACATAAGGAAATAGCTTAAAAGTCAAGTTATTGCAATCACGTGCAAAATCTATGAACAAGTGACAATACATAGCTTGATTTGAGTTAAAGTAAGGTCAAACAAAATACATGTAGTACATGTAGTTATGCTTCTGGTTACTCACCCCAACCTAGCAAATTGCACCCACCCTAAATCTTTTTGATTAAACAAGAAATAAAAAATACTGTTGCCAACCCTCGTGCATATTTAAAACACAAAGCTTTGTAATTGTTTTAGGTTTTCAACTTTTTTATTGCTTGAAAGTTGAAGCATTTGTCATGAGCGAATTGATCTTGTGGTAGTCGCCGTGTGATTGTGATCAAGCACCATGCAAATACATGCCACGCCCATTGATTTACACGGGGCCCATTCAGAGTTCCTCATGATGCCCTCTATTGCCCATTGCTGTTAGTCATCCGTGCATTTCGTCTGCTCACCGAACGAAAACCATCATTGCTATTAAATACGAAAGCTATCTGGGTCACAGACTATGAATGTATCGCACTCGCTCGCACATCACGTCACACACATCACATCGTGCACGTTGTGCTTGCATGCATCATGGCGGCAGACAGCACGCTGCGAGGCAGGGGAGGAGCGTTTGCCTTAGAATTTTATGTATGAGTTTTATCTGTACCAGCTAATTTCTTTGTCTTTCATTTTGTGTAAATAAAGGCATGTTTTTGCAGACAGTCGGAGACAATGGCGGCGGAAGGGGGGCAGGGGACCAGTGCCCCCCCCCCACTTTTTTTCAACTGGGGGCCTGTCCCCCCAACCACTCTTTTGCAGGTCCTATAATTGGGTGGAGCTCAATGGATCGAGCTCCAGCTATTAATGGCCCCCCCTTCAAACATCGTTCTGCCGCGAGTGCTTGGAGATAAGAGTTTTCGTACCAGTTACTCAAACTTAACCTGATCTCAATAGATATTTTAAGCCACTTAACCATAGATGTTGCAATCTTCTTTTTGTTGCTTGTCACGTTTGAATCAAACCCTTTCATGAACCATCAACATCACTTTTTATTTAAAAAAAAAGTCCCACCCAAATATTTTTGACCCAAAACCTTTAGAAGATAAAAAGAAAATACCACCCACCTACCCAACCTGTTTTTTCCTCAATGTAATAGGAAGCACTAGTATTATTTTGTTTGGTCTAACCAAAGTCAATAATATCATTTTCATGGAAATTTTCTGAAAAAGAACACTTTACTGAATCTTCGCAAAGTACATCTACATGTACATGACATGCATGTTCAAAGGTGAACATCTGAATGTCGTCACGTAACAGTTTGTTTTCTGTTGTAGCCCGACTTATCTTTTGTTGTAACAATGTAAATAGTACCGTATATATATCTGATCAGAAACATTGTACATGTAATTAGAGGTAAACAAATACTGAAAAGGAGAATTTGCAAATTGGAAGGAAAACATTAGTAAGGAATTTCAAAATGATGTTTTTATCATTCTTAATTTCATCACAACTTGTGTGAACCAATGTTGGAATCCTCTTTCCTCTGAGCCTACATTTAGAATAATCTCCATTGTTCTGGAGTTAGCAGTGGCTGGTCGAATTGGGCATGGTACATGTACGTTTAATGTTCGTAATTCAATGCAGCCTAAATCTGCCTGTACACTGCACTCAGTGACCTTGTCTTTTTTGTGCCTATGGAGATAGAAAGAAATGCCATTCATTGGACTTGTCCCAGTGCATACAATAGGTCTCAAGTGCCAGGTTGTTGAATGATAGGTCCATGATTGGGTTTTTTTGAATCCCAAAAGTTCGTTCTACCATTCATTGTTTTTATCTTGTGGCTCCCAGAACAGTAAGTCTTCCCGCGGACCCTTTTTATCCGTGTTGTTTCAAAGGGACTGGCAAGCAAGTCTAATTACTCCCAGGTTTCAAGGAAATGGAGTGCATGACTCACAGACAGTGCAGCAC